AGAGAGAGAGAGAGAGAGAGAGAGAGAGAGAGAGAGAGAGAGAGAGAGAGAGAGAGAGAGATTTGACTTAGGAGGGACTTGTGCCACATATTTTCATAACTGTGTTCTACAAGCCAGTGTCACACATGTGCATGCACAGGAACAAATCTCAAAAACCCTTTGAACTAAGGTCCCCCGGGCCCATGTTGCCCAGATGGGCCCAACAAAGAGCTGGACCTTAAGTTTCATTCATTTCTTCCTGTAGCTGCTTTCGAGGAAACTAAACTCTTTCCAAATCTTCTTCGACAGGGGACCTTGAATCACTCAAAAAAGAAACTTTTGTGCTAAAGGAAGGTATTGAATATAGAGTGAAAATTCACTTCAAAGTAAGTATGTTTCCCTGCGTATTTTTAGTTTAGCTCCTTCCTATAATCAGTGAGTGGCGTGCATTCTTGGGTTGGCAGACTTTTGGTTTTCTCTCCCTTCTCCCCAGGCCGTGGGCTGCAATGTTCTCTCCCCACCCCTGAGTTCCACCCTTGAAACCCACCTTTGCTTCTCCTTTCCCAGCTGGGGCTCCTCAAACTTTCCTCTGATCCCTTTACACCAGCAGGATCCCTCTGTCTAGGACCTCCTAGTGCTCATATCCACAAGGAACACAGCGGTATGGATTGTACCTTTTGCAGCCTTTGTTCCTGACACAAATTCAAGCACACTGGGTGGGATTAAATTGTGTATCCCTCCTTTCCAGTACTTCACAAAATCATTTAGTGTGCCTACACTGAGAGATGAATAAATAAACGAATTCACTTATAGCAAAATAATTAGGTAAGACCTCAGTCTTTGCTAAGCTACTAGAAATTGCACCTATAGTTGTGAAGCAGGTAACCAGATAAGAGCAAAACTAAATAAGGAATAAACTGACTTCTCAGGAAGAGGCATATATGGCAATGAGGTGCCACGCTCCCCAGAAAGCTAACCTTGACTCCGAAAATAAATATGTCACAAGTGCACTGTTTGCACATTATGGTTTGTGTTTGTTCTGGCTGGCCCTTATTCCCACCCAGTCACATTCTCCAGGGCCTGGAGTCTACCGAGCAGATTCCATCTGCTCTATTTGCACACTGGGCCTTCTTTGTCCCGGGTGCAGGATATGATTCAGGGTGGATGGAGATCACCCCGTACCTCATGCAAATGGGCCTCAAAATAGTCTCTTTCTGGAAACATTTGTTGACACCTAATGCCTAACTGGCACTGTACTGAGGATCTCTTTGTTTCCTGTCCTACTATTTAGTACTAAAGCACCTAGGGATTGGAAAAGCATTTAACCCAAATATTCGTACAATGGGTTACACATTGGTTCACTTTTTAGCCATATGTGGAATTGCATTGTCAGTTTATGAATCCAGTTTTTATCAAGTTAAATATGACAGGGAAATGTTGGCATGATTAAGATGAGAAAGGAAGGTCTGGATGTGCAGTCGTGAGAGTTCTTGTGATGAGAATTACCCATTAGGGCCCAGAAAGGGACTTTCAAGGCCCATCCACTTCAGAGGTTTGCCCTGGTCCCCCGCAGGAGACAGGTTGAGCTGTGTGAATCTCATTCAAGTTGAACAACTATAGGGTAGTTCTGAACGTGTCCAATAATTAGAAGAAACAGTATCTTCACTGATGTCTCCTGAAAAAAGTCCAAGGAAATCTGCATTTGCCACACCAGAAGCACATTCTAAAACCCTCTTGCATTCTGCCTGTGAGTTGCTCTTAATGTTCTCCCTTTTTTCACCTACATTTCACAAGCGTACACCAGACTACACTGAACACCAGACTTCGGTGGTTCTTTTAACTTCTCCCTCCTCTTCCTTCTGCCTCCTGGGCGAGTGTAGCACCACTGACTTCCACAGTTCACACCTTTATTGATATCACCAAGATTTCTCCCCTTCTGTGAGACATGGGAGACACAGGGAAGAATAGAGGGAGAGCTGAAGAAAACAATATTGGGAATATTCAACTTTTCCCTTACCCACCTTAAAATGCATTTGCACTAAATGAATCCTCCATGGAGCAATGCTTAAAAAGTTGACTGTGTTTTGAGGCCTTACTGTCACCCCTCAACTCTTTTTCATAGGTCTTTTTCCTCACTGAATCATGTCCCCTGCTAGCCTAGGGGACAAGCTCAGGACTTTTTGGAAAATGCATTTTTTTTTTATTCTTCTGAACTAGATCTAAAAGTCAGAGTACTTATAGACAGTTTGGGTTCCATTTTATTCCATTATTTCCGGTGAGGCCATTTTCATTCTGTTTGCTTTGGGTGAGTTTATATTGATTAGAAAGTCTAGAATCTAACCTGAGAATCTTTACTACGCTGCCACCTTACCATTGATAGGACAAAGGATAATTCTGGTAGGTTGGTTGAACTATTGTACCCAATACCTAAAGTGACCCATAAGGAGCAATAGTTATTGTCAGGAAAAAGTATTTGAAAATGCCTTACTCCGTGGAGCTAAGCAGTTGCCCAAGCTTTCCAACTAATGATTCAATGTCCGCTTCAGCTTGTTTGTGTAGACATGACCACTGTGTGTGAAATTAACAGACAACCCAGTTCAGTCTCAGGTAAAATGAATCATGGAAAAACAAAGTACATGGCTGTCTATATTTTCATTCTGGTTTAGTGTATTTTCTTTGAAAGTCTTGGGAAATAACAGCATCTCAGGCAATATCTGTTGAAGAGAGACATCCAGAAAGCTTGCCAGATGCAAAAGGATGCTATCTGTTACCAATGGGGAAGGATTTCTCCATGTGGCCTGTCACCTTACCTCCAGACTTCGTTCTCAGTCACATGGAGGACTTACCCATCTTCCACACCTGATTTTCCATGAAGGCTTCTCTCTTTGTTTGTTTTTCATATGCTAGGTGGGTTGTTTCTGAGGTTATGGTTTTCAGGTGTTTATATATTTTTCATTGATGTTTTTATAACCTTTCTTGAAACAAGGTTGGTATTTTGGCTGGCAGTATTACAGATGGGCAGCTTAAGACTATTCTTTGAACCACGCAGCACAGAGTAAACTACTGATGAATATTAAGACAAGGTTTTAATTAAACACCCACCCCAAAACAATAAGAAAGAGTTTATTGATGAAAACCGACCTGGCCGGGTTGAGTCTTACAGTCTTTCCTGGATTTCTGCCAGACCACTATCCTAAACGATGATAGGAACACATATTCTGATTAAATATTTAGACCTTTCATCCTCAGAGAAGGCTTAGCGTGGCAGGATCAACATGAAAGATGAGGATAGGTAAGACTTTCTCTAATGTAAATGGCTTGAATCATTCTCATCTACAGGTAAACAAGGATATTGTGTCAGGCCTGAAATACGTTCAGCACACCTATCGGACTGGGCTGAAAGGTAAGGAACATCACCCTTTCCACTCTCAAGCTGCTTTTCCCTGATATTTTAAATGCTGGTTATCAAAATTATTTAGTCATAGACTCTTGTAAGAGCCTGATAAAAACTGTGGATGCCCACCCTAGGAACTGGAACACATATACTTCTGTCCTAGGCATTATCAGCAAGGACAACATTCAGGATATCTAGTTTAGATAGAGTCAGCCACTAACCTAACCTTCACCATGAAGCTTCCGGAATTGAACGTTAATGCCTCTATATGGAAAAAGTGAGATAAGAGGTATAAAATACAAAAGTTTAAAAAAAAAAAAAAAAAAGTTCTCACATGTCAAACCCAAGTGTCAGACAAATCCAAGAGAAAAAAGACCTGCCCAGGGATATGTGTGCTGGGAAAAGTAGGAGGGGTAGCCCAGGGCCGCAATGTTCAACTTCCTAAGAAATAGTTAAAAAAAAAAATTATATTTCCAGAATTGAGAAAAGCTGTTCAATTAAAAAAAAAAATCATGGAACAACTTCATTTATTCTGCCCTTATTCTCACCTGCCTTGGGAACATGCCTTCAGATTTCTGTCTGACAGGGGAGACAACAGATAGAAGGAGAAGGAAACACCTTCTGGTTCCCGCTCACCTGTGAAGCTGCCTTCCCCAGAGTTGAGCACTGAGTCACAGCCAGTCCTACCAAACTGAGAGCAAAGAGGAGAGGAGAGATGGAGAAATCTGCATACTCAATCAATTACTCAAATCTCAGAGCAGACTACAGACCTGAAAGATATTGTTTGACCTCTCCGTTACATAGTCTTATGAAAAAATTTGTCCAGATTTCCTCTGAGCAGAGAGACATTTTTAACAGACATTAGCAGAAGGCCCACGTTGCATCTGTAGCTGTTCCTTCATGTTAACACTGAAAGGCCAGCGGTGCAGTACCTGTGTAGTACTTACCTTTATTAGTATCTCTAATCCCAACTACTCTTATTATTTATATCCTAGTTACCCTATAAATAAGTTTGATTAGCTATTATCACTATTTGACCCATTTCTTCACTTTTTTATTTAGGCCAATTTATAGATTTTCCCTTCCATATATGAATTCTATTCTGACTACTAGTTGTCAAGGTATCTATCTGTTCTCTGAACGACAGCTTTTGTGCAAAAGATCCTTCAAGCTCATTTTAGAGAGGAGGAAATGAAAGCCCAAGATGCGACATGACTTAGATTGTCATTGGGCTGAGACCAAAACGTATGTTTTTTTAAATGGTATAATTCATTACAACTCCATAAACAGAATTAATCCTCTTAGATTTAAGGTACTGATTCCCCAACTGTCTTGATGAACAAAGTCAGCTATGATGCTTTTTTAAAATGCTGATTCTTGGGACCCACAACAGGCCACTGAACCACAGCCTTTGGCAGTAGGGCCAAAGAAACTATTATTAGAAGGCACTCCGAGCTCAGCACCATGGTGTAGCCTGTAATCCTAGCCATCCAAGAGGCTGAGGCAGGAGGATCCCAAGTTTAAGACCAACATGTATAACTTGACAAGACTCTTTTTCAAAATGAAAATTTTCAAAAAGCTTCAGTGGTAGAGTGCCTCAGTGGTAGGAAAAGAAAAAAAAAAAGAGGCTGTAAAAAAAAAATATTAAACAAATAATGTCTAGGTAAAACACATTCAACCAAGTGTGTAAACCACTGCTCTGGCTTTTATCAACATGAGTGATACTCCAGATTCTCCCGTCCGCGGTGTGTGTTTTTCCTTTCCCAGGCTATTGCCTTAGTGAACTTTTCTTTTTCCTAGTGGATAAAGCAACATTTATGGTTGGCAGCTACGGCCCTCGGCCAGAGGAGTACGAGTTTCTCACTCCAGTGGAGGAGGCTCCCAAGGGCATGCTGGCCAGAGGCACCTACCACAACAAGTCCTTCTTCACCGATGACGACAAGCAAGACCACCTCACCTGGGAGTGGAACCTGTCCATTAAGAAGGACTGGACAGAGTAAATGCCCCTGCCATGCTCCCTCCTACCCGTACCACCTGGAAAGATTCTCTCAGTCACGTTGATCATCCTGTCCCTCCTTGTCCCTCACCCCTGTTCACACCCTCCGCTTCTGTATTGATGCATCTTACTCCCCCTGGAGGGCACACGAGGCTTAAGATCTGCCTGCTCTCTCTGCGCCCCAATCAGAGCCACATCTTCAGGGTCCCCCATCTCATTTCATGTCTCTCTCTCTCTCTCTCTCTTGTTCTCACTTGAGCAACTAGAGGCCAAAACATCAGCCAACTACCATGCTCAGTTCTTCTGCCTTAGGTTTAGTAGTTCAAGCCCGTACCCGGATTCTTTTGTGGTTGCTGCTGGCTCAACGACTCCCCTGTGATATGTGCCACCAGTTGGGGTTCTTCTTGTGCGAGAGACACTGTAAACAACACGAGAGAGTAAGAATAAAACAACTATATGTTCTGAGTGAGACCCTCATTTCTGTGTTCTTTTTACTTTTTCTTTTTTTTTTTTTTTTTTTTTTTTGTACCAGGGATCAAACTCAGGACCTTGTATTTGTGGGGGGATTTTATTAATTTTACTGAGAAAGAAGTAGCAATGAGACAGTTACAAAACAGGTTAGTAGGACAGATACAATAATTAATACATTTCATATTGTTGTCTTAGTAGTAGTTATTCACAGTACAAGATGCAGACATACCTTGTTTAGACACTATTAGTTCAAAACTTCCTTCTCATTGAACTAAGAGAAAGTAGCTGTATATCTATGCCATTTTGTATATACAGATATATATTTTTTTTTCACTACAAAATGGCCCTTCATTTATATCCCCCTTTTTGTTTACTTTTGTCGGAGAGGGGTATTCCTTTGCCATTCATATATTGTAGGAGCATGAATTCAGCAAAGTAATCCTACATAAGGACCTTGTGTTTGCCAGACAAGTGCTTATGCCACTGAGCTATCTCCCTGGCTGTTCATTAAATAATCTCACCCAGGTGGTTCACACTGCAAGTTCCCTGGGAGTGTGGGGAGTGGACTCCACAATGCAGGGGACATTCATATACTTGGCACCAGAACGGTATATGACATGAGCAATGTCTACAGTACAGAGAGTGAAAACCTAAATGTGATTCTTTCCATGAAATTTTCTCATGGCTGTTGCTCCTGGCCTTGGGACCGACCCATCCCACTGCCTATGGAATTCTCACTTTGCCTTTCATGCAGTTGCTTGTGGGCAAGCTCAAATGTCTGTCTTCTGCTCTCTTCACCAACAGAATGCAGTCAATGCGCCTGTTCATAATGGGTCCTACAAAGGCCCTTTGAAGATGGCTCTAGTGTATCTCCTTGCTCACATTTACCATTCCTTCCCTTCTCATGATGCTCAGTGACTCCCATGTACCTGTAGCTTTGTGTTTTACTCTTCACATGAAGTCCTTTTCCCACATGTTGTTGCCTGGCAAAGCTATACATAGGGCAAAATACATTTACCCGAGGAACTCTCCTATGCATTATCACTTTTCATTTTATGGTTCAATGACTGGCTCATACATCTATCTTTCTCATTAACAAGCAAACGTTCTAAACAGCCGTATCAGGCCATAGTTATCTTTGCATTCCTGGTGCTTAAGTCAGTACCTGCTAGACAGTACTTTTTTTAAATTTACATGGGTTATTCTGACATTTTTCTGATTGGCTATGTTCTGAGGCCCTGTCACTATACTCAGTCTTTTATCTCAGGAGCTGAAGGTCCCCAGAGCCAGCTGCATAGTTCCCACAACACTAGTATCCCCCAGCCAGTTAAGTGCAGTGCGTGCTGCCCTGAATCCATACCACAGAGCACAGACGTCCAGGAGAAAGAAAATGGGAGCCCCCCGTCTCAGATACCCATTGCTCTTACTTCTTCTCACCTGTGCGCTGGTCACAGAAGTTGCTGCAGAAGTTGAAGAATCCTCAGGTAAAAGATGAGAGCACATGGTGATCCTAAAGTAAAAGAGGTGTTAGGAGGAGAGAAGGGAATGTGGTGGCGCTCTGGGTACTTGCCATCTAAACGTGGAAGGATTTCGGGGAAATGCTAGTGTGTTGCCTTGCAGAGAGAAGCTAAGTAGCTTTCATTTAATTATAAATTAAATCATTTAATTATCTTTAGTTGGGTGAGATCACCTTCCATATGTGAAAACAAGTACTAACCATGAAGCCTTGGAATTATACCAGCATGCCCAGAAATTGTGATAACCTTGGGTTTAGTATGGAGAAGAAAGACATACGAGATGTCCTCAGTATTGAAAGCTGCTGCTTCTCCCTCCGCACCCTGACAGCCCCCTTCCCTCTGTCCAGATGATCCCAGCACTGCCCCAGTACTGCTATGGCTCACAGATGTCCCAGCTGCTGTGGAGTTCATCGCTGCTGCGGAGGTGGCCGTCGTTGGCTTCTTCCAGGTTCGTGCTGACGTCCCACTGGCTGTGCCGCCCTGAGCCAGGCATTCCCTGCCTCAAGGGAGTCACCTTCATGGCCTGCTGGCCGGATGCTGCATTAGAAGCCTGGGAGCTCCAAGTGGGTCACTCAGATTTCTGAACTTCAAAGCATCCCATCTCGCATTATGTCTTGCCCATACTTGTTCCAAGAGCTCTGAGCCTGCTGCCTCTGTCTCCTTACCCATGGATGCTTTGAAGCTAAGACAGCATCGCAAAAAGAAAGCTTTCATCAAACCCTGATAAATGATTTATCAGGGTTTGATGAAAGAAGTAGGAGTCAGGGCCAGAGAGATAGCTCAGTGGTCTAAGTGCCTGCTGCAAGGACCTGGGTTTGACCCCCAGTACCACATGCTGTGGCCCAGGAAGCCCAGGTGCGCCAATGCCAGCCCCAAAACCAAGAGTGGTGGCTCACACCTGTAATGCCAGTGCTGCAGAGGCTGACACAGGAGATCACTATGTGTCTGAGCTGTGTAGCAAGACCATTACTTACAAAATAAGTAAATAAATGTAGGAGCTAGATGAACCTATATTTTAGGACCCTAATCATCCTTTATATATTGTGTGCCAAAGCCCACAAGCATTAGTCAACGTTGCCTGTAAAGCCTTTCCACAAATAAGTAGTCCCTTATGCTTTTCTTTGCCTTTCTGAAATACTAGGGGGCCAGAGAGATCACTCGGTAGAATAAGTGCTTGCCTGGCAAGCGCAAGGGCCTGAGTTCAACTCCCAGTTCCGCCAAAAAAAAAAAAAAAAGGAAAAAAAAATATTAGAAAGCAAAGATGACTTTATTATGTTCACGATGTTAACATCCATCTGCTGGCTGTGTAACAGATAAGGAAGCAAGGAGAAGGCTCTCTCTCTCTCTCTCTCTCTCTCTCTCTCTCTCTCTCTCTCTCCCCCCACGTCCCCCCATAACATCTGGCAGTTATCTCAGCTGGCCCAGTCCCTACCCTTGTGACACAGCTGGAAACAGCTGCAATAAGATGCAAGTGAGAGAGACAGGTGCGGAGCACCTTTTTGGACAATAAGAGATCCGAGATGTAAATGAAAAAGGGCCCCTCTCAGAAAGGCAGGTTGCAAGAAGCTTGTGCAGTGACTTAGACGGCCAGCAGGGGACAGCCTTGGATCCTTGAGCAAAGCCCGTAGCCTCGCAGGAAATGCACTCTCTTTCAGAAGAGCAAGGCTTCCTCTGCTTGAACCCGATGCAAGGCTGGCCAGCCCCTGCTCGCCTTTCAAGGAAGCCCCGGGAGATTCAGGGAAGAATGTCTTTACTCGTTGCCCGGAGTTGCTCTAGGCAAATGTCCTGTGGCGGTGGCCAACAAATGATAACAATCTCTGTGGAAGGACAGGAGCCATCACCCAGGAAGGGTTTCTCTGCTCCCTAACTTCAGACCCGGTTGCAGGGTGGGGTTACGAACTCTATGCCCTTGGAAGATGAGGTCTGCTCACCCACATCTTACACAAATTCTTGTTAATGAAATTTCCTAAGTTCCGGTTATAATTTCATTTATTGTTCCCCCTTTTCCTTTTTGGCCTGTTTGACGGCGCCTACTTCTTTTTAAGTTTCCTCTTTCTTCTATAAATTGTTTTCATAGCATTTGCCTCCTCAAAGGTAGCAGCGACAGCGCAGCCCACCTCTGCTTTTGAGGACTCTCTCAGCTACTAGTAAACTTACCACAGAGCTACTAGTGCTCTAAAATAAGGCCAGACACGAATCTCTAAGCCACAAGTTTTGCAGTACCCTATTAACTCTACAGCTTTAAAAATTCAAAAATATCACTGCAAATTTAGCCTGCTGCTTTTGGGGGGAGGCACCACAGGGATTGAACTCAGGACCTTGCGCCTGCCAAGCACTAAAGTCTCTCAGCTGCCTCCCTAGCCCCTTAGCCTGCATTCTTCAGAGTAAAACGTTGATAGTTTCATTAATGGCTAAATCAAGTCTACAATTTTTAGTATGAGCATACACGTCTCTGCCCTGTTGAACACCTCACCCTCCTCAATAACCTCTGTGGTTTTCTTTTCCTCTGTCTTGTTTTCAGGATTTGGAAATACCAATAGTGTCCGCATTCCAGAGCATGGTGCAAGAATTCCCGGATGTGTCCTTTGGAATCAGCAATGACTCCAAGGTCCTGGCCCACTACAACGTCACTGGGAGTGCCATTTCCCTCTTTCGCCTGGTAAGCTGGATGAGCAGCGTGAGGCATCTCCCTGCTTTTCCTTCAGTTGTGGACTCTCAACACTTGTGCGACTGGAAGAACGTTGTGTCCCTGACACTAATGCCAGGGCTGAGTGCAGGGACACTGTTGACAGGGTTGGTGACTCCACTCAGGGTTGCCAAACAGCTGCGGTGATGAAGGGGACAAGGCACTGTGCTGCGGGCCTGAGTGGGGCTCCCCGCGCTGCTTGGTAGCTCTGGGAGAGTCGCCGCATGCGTTAGCGTCAACTTTGTCACCTAGGAAACGATAGACTATGCCATCCTAAGGCCATGTTAAGCCCTACAATTTTATATATTCATATTCTAAGGAATTGACTTATGCTTATCAAATATTTGTTACACAACTCCTGTCGGCTCTGTGCAAGAGACTTATATCTAAATGCCTCATACTTGCATAGAAGCACCCTAAGTATAAATACTTAAACACCTCTGCTCTCGTAGATCTCAAAGTACAGTAGATAGCATGCATATGACATGCAGGCATCTAGGATACAGACAGCATCTCTATAAATCAGGTGTCAAAAGAGAGAATGGGAAAATTGGGAGAACTGTGGAGACACTGAGCTTGGAAGAAAAGATAAAATTTGGACACTGGAGGATAACTAATGGATAAGGGGGGATTTTTAATTAAGTTAGAAGTCAGTGGACAGGGTAATTAGGATCACATGTTAGAAGAAAAGGAATGTGAGACAAAAAAGCTTGAGTAGAACTGTATTGTATTCGATCCCCCCTCCCCCGGGGCACGCTGAGATGGCAACTGAGACTGGGCATGGTAGTGCGCGCCTATAATCCCAGTCTGAGAGGCTGAACACAGGAGGATCACTATGAGTCTGAGCTTTCATTGCTGGTGGATTATCAAGGTAATGATGTGAAGAGTACAATGAGAATGAAAAGGAGCAAAAGATCATTTTTTAAATTTCTGGACCGAATGGCTTTCCCTCCCCATGGCTTGCACTCTTTCTTTCTCTTCATTAGTTCTCACGCAAACTTCTTTTCCATGTGTCTTTCACAGTGTTTTGAGCTTCTTTCAGCTGACACGGCTATCTAATTCACGCCACACTGCTCCACTGAAACTACACTCTTTCAGTTCAGCGCAGCTTCTATTTTAGAAGCGGTAGTACCAAGAACTGTTTGTAGCTCTTATTCTGCTCAATACTTTTGCCACATTTGCCTGTGTTGGTTGATATTGTCTGTAACATGCTCTCTTTTCTTGAATTCTAGAATCCTAATTGGCCTGATCCTCCTCTCGCTCTCTCGGTTTCCATGAGGCCTGCTCCTTTTCAGCTGCCTGACGCATGCTTTTCTCTAGCTGTGTTACAGAACCCGTGCTCTGCGGAGTCCAGGCGCTTCTGTTCACAGCTGTGACTTCAGGGCCTAGAGCAGTACCTGCCAGGAAGTAGCAGCACGGGTACATTGCTGCCCGAAAATGCCTCCCACAGTATCTGCTGAAAACAAATATGTGAAGGAATCAGTTCATGAATGAATGTCTTGTCTTTCTGCAATACAGTTGGTTCTCAATTTGACTGTTCTGTGCCTGTTGAGGATATATAATATTTTCTCTATGGTCTAGATTTCCCTAACTATTCAAATGTCTACTGGATAGTACTATTTTTGTGCCATCACAAACACTCTTAACATGTTAAAATTGAATTTATTGCCTATACCTGCTAAATCATCCCTCTATCTAATACAATATTCACCATTTCACTGAGTGGCTATGTTCATTTACTCTCTTGTTTTTGTCAATTTCACCTCCTATCTCGAATCAATATTCCTTCGCTCTTTCTACTTTCTTTGCCATGAGCTTTTAACATCATCAGCACAAGCAATTCCAATGGCTTCTTCTTTTTTTTTTTTTTTTCAGAACTGGGGATTGAACTCAGGCCCTTGCACTTGCCAGGGAAGCGCTTATTCCACTGAGCCATCTCCCCAGGTCCCCCCACCCACCACCAATGACTTCTTAACTGACTTCTTTTGGCTCTTTCAGATCCACTTTCTAGACTGGTGTCCTATGATGTGGCTAAGAGAGAAATTGGCCATTCCATTTCTCTCTTTAACTTCTTCAGTATTTCCCAAGTATTTCCCATTTTTTACAAGCTCAAACACAAAAGTGTATTTGTTACATACAGTCTTTTAGAACCTGGGTGTTCTCTGATTCTCTAGTCCCTTTCCCAGCCGGTTTCCTCCTTGAGATCTTAACCCTCTACCTACCCAGCTATGGCATTCTAGTCACCCAGTTCCATGACTTTCCCAAGCTGCTTCTTTTGTCTAGAAGGCCATTACCCCCTAATAATATTGGTTCCCATCCTCACCCAGCTAACTACACACCACTAACTTCCGATACATATTTCAGAGAGTCATTTGAGGCACCTTATCCTCCAGAATATTTCATTGGGATCCCCAAACTGGCCTGAGCAGTCCTCTGTACTTCCACATCTCCATTCTTGCTTATCACTTTATAGTGCCATAATACATTTATGGATTGTCGCATCTAGAATGCCTTTAGAACATGAGCTCCTGAAGAACAGGAACCACAGCTTAATTCATCTTTGCAATGCATGGGTCTGTGACATGTCCAGGCACCTAGAGGGCACAGAGAAAGTGTTTGGGAAATTGATCTCATCCTCCCAAAGCCCGTCTGAGGATAAAGGGTGCCTTTCAGCAGTCATTCCCCACTGGTATAGTGGTGCTGGATTGCTTTTTCACTTTTGCAAAATAAGACTAATCTAGCCTTTCTGAGAAATGTTATTTTATGTCAGACAGATAGGGAAGGTCAAACTAATGCCTTTTATGTCTCTGTTGAACCACAGAGCAATCCTTCAGTCCAAAATTCCTCATCAGCTACAGCTTCACAGGTACTTCTTTCCAAGTTTCTGGTTAATAGATTTGAAGGCTGACTTAAAAGTCTTAGTACCAGCACAGGGGAGAAAAGCAGGATTATTGCTTCCAAAGTCTCCATAGTCTTAACAATCTTTTTTCTTTTTCTTTTCTTTTTTTTTTTTTTTTTTCTCTTTTTTTGGGGGGTTGGGTGGGGTACTGGGGATTGAACTCAGCACCTTGCGCTTGCCAGGCAGGCACTTCCGCCACTGAGCTATCTTCCCTGCCCTCTTAATAATCTTTAATGGGAACATAAGCTCTGCTTATAATTTATTCTTTATAAAGCCATGCTGATGACTTCTTAGAGCTCTTTACTCTTCTTTAGCATCTGTTCTTTATTTACAGCTAGTGACAGAGCTACTCTGACTCAACTTCTGGGACCTCAGTGGACAAGTTTGTTTATATGCCATACCAAAAACAAACACACCGGTTCCTGGGCCACTTCGTTGGCGGGGCTGGGTAAGCCTCAATTTAGGTCATGCCAGCTTCTAGATAAACATCTTTTTCTCAGTTTACACTTCCAAAAGTTTAGCACATGTTTTCATAGGATTATTACTCAAGAATTTAGAATAACATTTTTTTTAAAAAAAAAGGGTACAACAACCAAGACCATTCTATTTTGTATTTGGAAGCATGAACCTTTTGTAGTTTCTGGTGTCTTCTATCACCTTAGACCCATAGTTGATTACATTTGTGTATGTGTGTATGTGTGCCTAATTCGTGGTAGATACTATTATAATTCCCACAAGTATCTGTATTTTCAGTAAAGAAAATAACGTTCTATGAGGTTGGTCTAGATGGCTGGTTTTATAACTATAGAGTAACTGAAATCTGTTTCCATACCCAGCACTACTGACCTCTAAACACACCTCTTCTTCTGTATTACAGTGGCTTTCTAAAGGACTTACTCCCACAGAAAAATTTTTCTTCTTACACTAAATTTTACTTACTTTAATTTCCCCTATTCTCAAGTCAATATTTTCTTTAAAAAAAATCATTTATCTCCTCCTGGCATTAATTCATCAAACCCCAGGATTAAATCTCAAGATTTAATCAAAAGATTATATATTTTGATAAAGAAATTTCAAAACTCAGACTTATGCAATTAGCAATTGTAAGGACACATGTAGAGATAAACTGAAATAGTGATTAACTGAAAAAATGACAGTATTACTGGATACCTGAACTGGTTAAGACATAAAAAGCCACCAAAAAGGTGTATCTATGAAGTATATCATTCTTCAAAAATAGTGAAGCCAGACTTCTATAAATGTTTTCAGGAGGATTTTAAATGAAATGCTGGGGACATAGTTAGGCAGGACATCAAGGGTGATGGGGGATACACGTCTCTGATTGTGAGAGCAGAAGGGATCTCGTCCTACATTCTCTTGGGGGACAATCGCTGTTGCCCTAAGAGGGAGTAATCCCTGGGGTGAATGAACTCTGAACTTATCCTCCATGGAATTTCAAGTGTTATTTGACTGTTGACCCTGTTTTTTTCTCAGTCACTTAGTAATATAAGTAGCTTAGCCTAACTTTGACTCAATAGAATAGCAGGGGAAACAGTAAGTCAGTATTTCTCTTATAGTTATTTATTGGCTATCAATTATAGAACTCTCTCTCTCTCTCTCTCTCTCTCTCTCTCTCTCTCTCTCTCTCTCTTTCACCAGACTAAGAGAACTGGAAGAAATCTATACATAAAAGCCAACTGTTTAAAAAAAAAAAAACAGCATAAGCAATATATATCAAATTACTGACACTGTGGTAAATTGATCAACTTTTAAAACTAAATCCTGGGACATGAAGGTAATTGTTTAACAAATATTTCAGTGTCATACAAGTTATTTAGCCTTGTAGCCAAAGAACTGATATTTGCTATCTAGATATACATAGCAACTTCCCACAATGAATGTAATCGTTTTATACTATGTGCCTATGTAGTACTAATAAAGAAAATGAAAAGAGAACTATTTTGTCTTAACAATGAGAGTAAGCAAGGCAAGAACCATAATGCAAGCTGACAAGATTTTTAACACATTTTCTGAAAAGCTGGGGAGTCAGAGAAATCAGAAATTCAAAGAAATA